GTGAAACAGTAGTTATTGTATTTGTCCTGTGGCAACCTTTTCCGTACCTGCTTGCCAAATATCTCTAACCATGTACAATCTACATTAGAATGTACCAAGATTTTTGTGGTTTAGAATAATTATGATATTGTCTTGTTATAGTAAATTGAAACTTTTTTTTAATAGGGTACAATTAAAAAAGATTCAATTTACTAATTTACTACGTCCATGGCCGGAGAAAAGTCTTTATTTAGAACCACAAACAAAATAGGCAGCAGAAGTTATGTAATTTTTTGTTAGCACAAGTTATTCGCTTAATGACTATCATATAGAAATAACCTATTTATTATTACTTTCTCAGGTCTATACGGCGGTTGGGGCATCGGTGATACATTCCCGACGCCATCGCCAGAGTCGCCCGACCATTGGTCGACGCCATCGCCGCAGACGCCGCTGACACAGTCCCCGCACTCTGATTGGTCAGATCGTGCCGCGTTATCGCCCAACGACATACAACAGACCAATAAGGGGGCGACAGAAGCCATCTATATATAGGTTTATTGTTAAGAATCGGTTTTAGATGAATTATAGACGTTCTTAGACTGTTAGTGGTGATATTTTGTTAGATTTGATGTATTGTACAGCCATTTTCTTTTTAACAATAATATTATAGTATTGCCGTAGTTGGTGCTACATTTCGCGGTTTTTGAAATGGCAATCCAAGTTTCTGTGGACACATTTTCTGCATAGAAATTAAACCTTTCCCCCTAAAGAAATCAAAACAGAAAATGACAGGAATTTATAAATTAGGTATACTTGCAATTGATGGTATCACATTCGAAACACAAAAACACCAGAGAACGTCCAGCAGCATAGGAAAGAAGACAATGTATAGAGCGATGCGACGCGATGTAAATTCACCGTTCGATGTCCATTGACGTGTTAATACGACGTCGGACGGCGGTGTCGTAAACATAGACTGACTTGTACAGCCATGACTCGAGTGTATAGCTTTTAAACTAGTGTAGAATAATGCACTAACAACTTGATAATCTCGTGATTTCTTGCATTCCCCCTGTTTTTCGGTGTATTTTTTTTGCAATAAGTTGCTTCTAAGTGATTTTGGGAGTAACATTATTAACGGCTGATATACCGTAGGTATGGACTCAGAGAGATATATACAAGGTATGCATTTAAATTTGATCCTTTAAATGCCTAATGATAAGCTTCAATTTACCTTAACGTAATTTCAAAATGTCTTTCAAATTATAACGACAAAAAAAAGAATGCATTCGAAATTTAAATACAAAAATACACCGGATATTAACAATTGACATTTTGATAAAGGAAATGACACATTTGTTACGTTGTTGATGTTTTTTTTTATTATTATTTACTTGTTTAAGTAAACTGTGCTTGGGACCTTCGGTTTCGAAGCACGTGTTTAGGTGCAGGCGATGACGTCACGAGCCAGGTAGGCGGACTACGATTGTTCGGAAATTATTTATGTGTGATTCTATAGATTAGGATTTTATCGCTTTTAGTGTGTAGATAGTTTATCGGTTTGTTACTAAAGCTGAAATAACAGTGAAATAAATAAGTTTTTATTCAGTTTTTCTTTTAGTAATTTTAAAATAAGCATAGCTTTGTAAAAGTTTTCTGTTTTCAGAAAAGTTTTTAAGCGGAATGAGTTTAAATCGGCTTTAGAAACAAATTGTGTTAATTTAGTATTTAAAAATCTGTAATATTGACTGAGATTGTCGCCATCTTATATGTCATGTTTATTTTATTTTATAAACATTTTTTTTTATTTGTTCACAGACTTTATTATTTTGATCTGGCAATAATCTCAGTTTTTAATATTATATTTTGATAGTTTACATATCTTCCGTATGTCGAATCATTCCATAATTGCTTCCAATTAGACTATCATGTGCAGGGGTGCCTAGTTAAAAAAATACCTAGTGTATAACGAAGGTGTTGCCATTATTATTATACCAATGCAACCTCTTGCATATAGTGAATTCCCAATTGATATAAGATCTCATTCATTCCATTTGCGCTTTAAAATAATAAAACATTGTTTGTTTTTTTTTAATTAATAAATAGTTAAAGCGGGACCATTCATGCTCAATTTTTACTCAATTCCATACATACTCTTTTATAATATTGTAATATATTTTATATTTTTAAGTAATTCTATAGTTTATAGCTTGCGATGTTGTAAGCCTTCATCATTGTAAATAATTTTATCTTTTTTTTTGTAATGTAAGTAATATTTAAAAAAAAGCGAATGAAATAACTGATCTTCGTAGATTTACGATAGTATTGTAGTTTTTTTTTAATTTTTATTTTTTTGTGTCATCTTTGATGTGCCAATGAGCAAATTCGTTTACTGTACCGATAGTGAAACGCACAGACAATATTATTTGTGTATTACTAGTAGTAGAATAATGTTATCGATAAGGGAATTGTGCTTCCTAACTGCTTATGTCTAAGCAATAAATGCCCCCTAAGTAAATATAGGAATTGGCTGAAGTACAAAGGGAATAAATAAAATTTTCGAAGTAAAAAAACACTTTTTTCTAAAAGAAAACTCCAAGACTGTAAAGGATATATAAGTGCAAAGGATTATACTCATAAATAAATAATTACGTGACGTTTCTTTTTTTTTGTTTTTTCCTTGTGTGAATGTAAAAGGTAAAAAAAAAATTGGCGTATATTTTTGTTTTTTTCTAGTGAACTTGGCACTTTTAAATGAAATCCGAAAGGCACTTTTTTACGAAAGATAAAAATAAAATAAAGATAAAATTTACATAAAAGATCTTCAATCCGTGTGCCTTTTAATTAAGACATTTGTAATTTAATCTATTTAGTTATAGATAAGTGACTTAGTTATAGTGGATAAATTTTGTAAATATATTTTAAACAATTATTTTCATTGAAAATGATTGATTTAATTTGTAAGGAAAAAATGAAATTTTAATGAATGTTCTCCCCTAATGACAATAAAGGAATAAAATAAAATTTACTGGTTTTATTGGGTCTCCTCTCTCTGTCTCTTGTTTTTAAAACCAAAAGGTGCATAGCATTGCATAGTTTTATTAATAAAAAAGTATTGAATATTTGCAGATACTTTTAAATAAAGTAATTAATACTCATTTAGTAACCGATATAAATACAATAGTTTAAATAAAAAAGGAATTATTTTAAACTAAAAATATACACTTTAATACATTTTTGAGAAGTGGTATACTAAAGTAATAGGGTTAGAGATACTTGTGTGGCGTGGCGTGGCGTGTAGCGACAGAACGCCCCGGGTAGCCCAGGTTCAGAACCCAGGTTTCATACATTTGACAGCAAGCGACACGATACAATACATCACGAATGTTTAACCACCACAACCAAATCTCTAACAATCATCATTATCATCATCAGCATATAAGTGCCCACTGCTAGCATTTGATCTACAAATTGTTGTTCTTAGTCTTGGTGTTATCTGTATGTGTCTTGGCATTCTTTATATGAAATTGCATATTTTTAAGTGCTCCACAACAACATGTAGGGTAATACAAAACATGAGCAGGAACTGGCGTGTTTTTAGTTGGTAAGTGTCTGACACTAATTCAGTATTGTAACAAGAGCAGTCATTTGTTGATTGTCCACAAAAAGAGTATAGTTTAAAAAAATGCCAACCCGCCTTGAGCAAGCGTAGCGATTAATTCTAATACCCTCTCCGTGTTAGAAAAAGTTAAGCAACGACCAACCATCGACTACAAGCTGATTTTGATATGACGTACTACCTCATAACACTAAAACAATTGACTGTCAATCGAAACATATTTATATAGTAATACCCTCAATTTCGTCTTATAATTACTTAGTTCCTTTATTGTTATAAAAATACTGTTATTGTGATAAAATCCTTTAGTATTTTTCTACAAGTGACCGTAATAAGATATGCATAACTGAGTCCATAAAAGTGAAATTAATGACTTTATTAAGTACTAGAAGTGACTAGAAGTGAACAGTAATATTGAGTTAGAAAACTTGTAATCATTATTAGAAATGGTGGACAATAAAAAGTAAAAAAATATATTCGTAATGTGTAAAGTGAATGTGTAATGTGAAGTTGTTAGTAGGTATTTATTTTAATAATGTATGTTTCTTTTATTATTTTCTATTTTTTTTTCTTGATCATTTAATAAGATCAGTCGGGGTTTGCTAGTCAAGCGAAATGTACCGCAGCCTCGACCTGGACCAGAAGTAATGAAGTGGTTTAAGTTAGTAAGAGTCTGACTTTAACTCTCGCCCTATCTATGCGTTAAGGTGAGAAAAAACAGTTGATGAATTTCCACCTCAAAATAAAAACTGTAAATATTGATGTTGGTCTAAAACGTTTCTCTAATATACTCTCGTTTCTCTCCTTTCCCTACCTCTCTCTTTGTCTCTCTGTGAATTATGGACGTTTGTGTTCTATTGTCGCACTTATACCTTCTGTGCTAAACAGTAGATGGATTACTTGTTGATATAAGCCCTTAAAAACTATTGTTTATGGACACACTTATTATATACAAATTGTTTCTCGCTTATCTATGTTCGTTGCTAACATTTAGTTTAAGTGTTAAAATTTAAGTTGAAATAAAAGTTCGTGTCGGGTACGGGTATACTACCTTTTTTATGGATCCCCAGATGGTAAGTGATCAGCGCCGCCCATTGACACCCGCAACCACGGAGGTGTAACGAGTGTGCTGCCGACTTTTTGGACATTTTGGGAATGAGGAGTGTTTGGGGGAGGAGAACGATTGAGCCTCCAGTAACCTCACTCACTCGGTGAAACACAACGCTTTTCGCCGTGGTATCACTCATGTTGAACCGGCCCATTCGTGCCGAAGAAGCACGGCTTTCCGACACTCGTACAGATTATACTACTTTTTTATGGAATACTAGGCAAACGGATCACCACCTACAACACTACTATACCAATATCTTCTTTACACAGGAATTAAAAACTAAGTAAGATGAGTTTCCAAGCTCGTGGCGGCCTGACGTCACAGTGGTGCGCGATGGCAGCAGCGATGGCCGCACTGGCCACCGTCACTACCGTCGGCAACATAGCCGTGTTGATAGCGTTGCGGCGCACGCGCACTGCGCCCGCGCACTACCCACTCGCCAGTTTGGCCACGGCAGATCTATTGGTTGGTCTGTTCGTGTTGCCCGTCGCTGCTGCGCGGGAGCTGTTTGTGTTTCAATCTAGTAAGTACCTAGTACTTTAATAATAAGGTTCAATATTTTGATATTATCAGGATAAAAAGTTCTATTCACTCTTTATCACTATGTCTTGAAGTAATGCGTGTTCTAAGCAAGTATGTCAGCCTCCAGGAATTTCCACTGACCCTTATACTTAATATGTACCTAAATTGAAAGTATTTAGGTAAGTATCAACTTTGCAGGTAAGTATCAAGCGTGGGAGAGCCATGCTTCGGCACGAATGGCTCGGCTCGACCGGAGTGATACCACGGCCTCACAGAAAACCGGCGATAAACAACCACAGCGTTGTGTTTCGCAGTGTGAGTGAGGTTACCGGAGGCCCAATCCTTCCCCTCCCCCAATCCCTCTTCAATCCCTAAATCTTCAAATCCCTAATCCCTAAACGGTCGGCAACGCACTCGTAACTCCTCTGTTGCGGGTGTCCATGGGCGGCGCTGATTGCTTACCATCAGGTAATCCGTCTGCTCGTTTGCCTACCTATTACATAAATAAAAAAATAAAAATTGCAACGCACTAACAATTGGTCTTATGTCGTGGTTGCGTTTAGAAAAACATATTTTTATTTTTACATCACACAGACACACATACCTACCTACAATTTATGGACCATGCAACAAGTTGCTCCTTGCGAGGGCAAAGTAACCTGCGACATAGCACAACCCTAGTCACTACTACCAATAACTTATCCATTCCATTATTCCAATATCATACATATTAATTACATACAGTTTACCTAAAAAAACGATTTCAAATAGAAGAAAAATATCAACATTATCTTCTTAATTCCAGATTGGATAATCTGCAGTTGCTGGAAGATCATGGACATCATGGGCTGCACTGCATCCATCCTGTCTCTATGCTGTTTGGGCTGGGAGCGCTGGTGCGGGATCACTGCTCCTTTAGCTCGAGCCAGACGCGCGAAATTAGCCAGACTTTACGCTTGTCTGGTCTGGCCAGTTTCCTTGGCTGTAGCGTTGCCAACTGCGTTCATACCATCCCCGAAGACCTTGCAGATTGAGGTGGATAAAGGATGTCCTGATAATACGCATATTGGGTGAGTTTGTTTTGGTTTTGGAGTGCATAAAATACATTACTTACTTTTTCGAGAGCTTTTTTCTTTAAACCAAATCATCCTGCTGCCTTGATAAAGTATCTAGTGCAATGTCCTCTGGATTGTCCGAGAAATAAAGGTCAAAATCAAATCTTTTATTTTTCTTAGACTTTTGAATGACAAATGAAGTTTTAAATTTAAACCTTTCAGTCATAAATTTTACTTTAACTAATGTTTATCTCACGTAATGAGTCGTGCTGTTTATGAATATGAGTCCCTAGCGTGGCTTGAAACTAGTCGAGTTCCTAGTAAAAGAGTTACGGCAGTAAGCTGACAAATAACAAAAATGTATGGAGGTATGTTTGTTACACTTTAACACATAATTAAACGGATGGACCGATTTGATTAATTTTTATCCACCATGCGGGAGAAGCATCGGGCGGAAGCTCGTACCTAATATTTTTTTTAATATGCCTTACGAAAATATATACTTAGTCTTAAATAGGTTTGTAAGTAAATGTTTTGTGACATTATCTTTTATACACGCAACTTGAAAATGAAAAAGTAGGCGCCACACTTTAGTATGTGGTTAATTCATCATCATCATCATCAGCCTATAAGTGCCCACTGCTGAGCAAAGGCCTCCTCTCATACGGAGAAGGTTAGAGCATTAATCACCACGCTTGCTCAATGTGGATTGGCGATCGCAAACTTATAATAAGAAATTATAAGTCCAGGTTTCCTCACGATGTTTACGTGTACCTTCACCGTATGTCAGTGGCGTCTAAATAATCATAGAAAGTACATATAACTCGGAAAAAGTCATATTGGTAAAACCTGGCAAGTACCTGGTTTTGAGAACCCATACTCTCATGCATGAGAAGCGGGCTCCTTAACCTCCGGGCCACCACGACATATTTTTTTTTTGTGGTTATTTAAATCATGGTTTTTGGGAAATAAGTTTGGTATGTTCAAATGTTTTATTCTATTTCCAGCTACGTGTTCTACTGCGCTTCTCTATCGTTCTACCTGCCAGCCATAATGATGGTGGTGCTATATGCTCGCATCCTGTGCGCTCTCTCTGTGCCACTGGAGATCCGATCTCACCGAGGAGCGGTGCAAGGTCCAGACACTAGTCAAGTGGTAAGGTTTTCTGGATGTGTATTTTTGTATAAATGGTACCTACATTGATGGGAATATATTTCGTTCAATCAAACACGTAGCTGATATAGCTAAGTCCGTATGCGGTCTAGTGTATATTGATACAAGGAGTGTATTTTTTAAACAGCCATTGTGCTTCATCCAGACCTATAGGGCTAAGATATTTTTAAGGTGATATATTTAAGGTGTATATACAATTTTAATGGTTTTTTTTATATTAAAAAACACAGTGTTTTAATAATAACTATCGTGAGACATACTAAATTAACTTAAAATTGCGGGTTACTCACGTGTCGCAGCCTAGTGGCTGGTAGGCTGAACGACAACGCCGCGTCCACGCACGCTGCTCATAAGGAAGAACCCCTCTGTGGTTCGAAACTAGTAAAGCTTTTCTCAATTTATACACGTGAGTAACCCGCGAAAACCACTGCACTACATAAGGCTTATCTTGGCTGTTTAATTTATTTATTAACGATATAGTAGCATGCGTAAAACATTGTAGTGCCTATCTTTTTGCCGATGACCTAAAGATATGTAAAACAATAAATGAACCTTCAGATTGCAATCTTCTTCAAAATGACTTAAATGCCTTAACGGATTGGTGCGCAGATAACGACATGATTTTTAACACTCAAAAATGTTACTCTATTACCTTTACCCGCAATCATAGTATTATTAAATTTCCATACCACATAAATGGCATAGTTCTTCAAGAAAGAACTGAATTGAGAGACTTAGGCATAATTCTAGATACGAAATTGACATTTGTGCCCCACATAGATAATATTATTAATAAATCATCCAGGATGTTGGGTTTTATCATTCGAAACTCTAAGTCATTTCGCAAATCCACTACAAAGATAGCCCTATACAATAGTTATGTTCGCAGTAACCTTGAATACTGTAGTGTAGTATGGTCGCCGCAGTACAATGTTCACCAACTTCGTATTGAACGAATTCAAAAGAGATTTTTGAGACACCTCGCATTTTCATCTAGGGTACATAAACAACTGGCTTCATACAAAGAGAAATTGACATATTTTAAGATGGATAGTTTGTTAACACGTAGACGTGTAATAGACTTAACTTTTCTTTATAAGCTTGTAAGATGCCATTTTAATTGTCCGCCACTTCTGAAAACTGTCAGTTTGCGTGTGCCAACACGAGTACCTAGACGAGCGACGCTTAAGGTCGGATTGTTGCGTCGGCCATGCGCTAGAACCAATTTGCGAGATTTTTCTGCTATGTCACGACTGCCGAATTTATATAATGAAATTTGTGGAAGGGTCGATATCTTTGCTGATACGCTACCAAAATTTAAAAAGGCTGTGATGGGATTGTTGAGTGTCCAAACTTAGTGCTTAATTTGTCTCGATTGTTTTATTGTTATTTTTTACTTTAATTTTATTGTTCCGCATTATTGTAGTATTTTTTTCCCCTTTTTTTAAATGTTTTTTCTAGTTTGTAATTGTAATTGTAATATACTAACTGTTGTCGTTACGTTACAGAGCATGTTGTGACACTTTAAAATGTTGTGCATTTGATTTTATTATTACTTAAGTTTTTAGATGTAAGTTTAAATGTAACAACTACTAGTTGTCCAAATAAATAAATAAATAAATAAATAAATAAATAAATCTTCTGTGTCGTAAGTGCTTTTACGAATACCCAGACCCAGAACAAAAATTTGTAGATCAAAGATGCATAGCAGCCCCTGCGTCAACAGTGCAGTCAATTTTTCTAGCATATCTTGGTAGTTCTATTTAAAATAGTCTTAGCGTTGCAGATGTTATGTATTGCTTAAGTACCACCAGGATTGATCCGTTTATTAGTTTAGCCATCATTGCTCATAAAAAGAATATTCCTCTTAGTCTATCAACAAACGACCCTGGGTCCTACACAACTGTGCCGTCTTTATCGTCTTTAATATTTCAATATACTTTTTTCCAGGGTAAAACTTCCGCTGTTACAAGATGTGCTTCCACGGAACTTGTTGCCCTACCACAGAATAACCAGACTAATACTGAGTGAGTACCTAATTTAAGGAACTCCTTACTTTACATCAGGATTGACTTCTTTAATGTTAGCAAAAAATGGGCATACTCTCCTCTCGGATTTTTGAGACCTGGTTGAGAGGCTTGGCTGTATCTTTTGATCAGCCGCGGTTCCGGTACAACGACAATAATTTAACGTCTACATCAACGTAACAGTCTCAGCTGGAGTAGCAGAAGGCACGGGGCGGTTTTCAGTCAGTAAGAGTCTGACGCTCGCAGCCAAATCTAGACCGAGATAATAAAAAGGCCTTAAAAGAAATTAAAACCTTTGAAAATTTCTATAACCTTCTCTTCTTCCTTTATTCTTCAATCTAAAGAATTCAATCAATCAATCTAAAGGAAAGCTAAGTGTGGGAGAGCCATGCTTCGGCACGAATGGGTCAGGCTCGACCGGAGTGATACCACGGCCTCACAGAAAACCGGCGTGAAATAACCACAGCGTTTTGTTTCGCCGTGTGAGTGAAGTTACCGTAGGCCCAATCCTTCCCCTCCCCCAATCCCTCCTCAATCTCCAAATCCCTAATCCATAAAAGGTCGGCAACGCCCTCGTAACTCCTCCGTTGCAAGTGTCCATTGGCGGCGCTGATTGCTTACCATCAGGTAATCCGTTGGCTCGTTTGCCGACCTATTACATAAAAAAAAGAATTTTATGTATCTCTTTGAATGTTCCAGAGCTCAGTCTCCAAGAGTCAGTAAAATGAATGCGCTAGCGAGAACTGCCGCGTGCCCTACAGTTTCTCCAGCTAAACACCCTGGGGCTCCGTGAGTTAACTTTTAATAAACTCGATTTCAACTTTAAAAAATCATCTATACTTAATTTCGTCATCAGCCTATAAGAGTGCCCACTGCTGAGCAAAGGCCTTTTCTCCCAAGGAGAAGGTTAGAGCATTAATCACCACGCTTGCTCAATGCGGGTTGGCGATCTCAAACTTATAATAAGAAATTATAAGTCCAGGTCTCCTCACGATGTTTACCTTCACCGTATGTCGGTGGTGTCTAAATAATCATAGAAAGTACATATAACTCGGAAAGTCACATTGGTACTTGCCAGGTTTCGAATCAGGACAGCCGGGGTTGCGGGGAAAGCGCAATGAGGCACCGCGACCTCGGCCCAGAGCAGGAGAAGGAACAGGGGGGTTTTTAGTCAGTAAGAGTCTGACACTCACTCCCGCCCGGGGAGAAGTCATTTGATGATTTTCCCCTCACAAAAAAAACCCTCATGCATGAGAAGCGGGCTCCTCAACCTCCGGGCCACCATTACATTTCTTAATTTAAATTAATACAATTTATTTGGCTGAGTAGTAAGTGCATCTGACGACCCATATGATTATGATTTGAATAGCATTGATTTTGGAATCGTGGTAACATGGTAGTAACAAGAATATGATATAAGGTTCACTATCCCTTGCCTAGAATTGAACAGTTATGTTTATTTATAATCTATACGTCATGATCAATATTAAAAGAACGTTATGTTTGTCAGTTGATATAAAGATATCTAGGTACTTTATAACATCCTTGTCTTAAATTATGATATGATTTCCAGAAGCTCCATCATGTCCCGTCAGCAGCGCGCCACCCGTACCATAATCAGGCTGATGGGGCTGTTCCTATTCTGCTGGACTCCATTCTTCATTGTGCTGCCAGTTGGTAAGTGAAAGTTTCGTTGTGGATATATATTTACTTGGAACTGATGCTTGTTTACGACCTATATTAACTAATGCCAATTCTGAATATTTGGATCGTATAGGAAATAATTGAAGTTAATGTCAATATATGTACATCTATTAAACATTGACAAAATTAAGACATTCTTTGTTTCATTTTAACTGCCTCGGTGTTGCGGGTCTCAATAGGCGGCGCCGATTGCTTACCATTAGTTAGATAATCTGCGTTAGATAGTTTGCTGCTGTGTCACATAAGCTATCAATCGGCAAACAGCACCGTCCATTAGATACCCACATTTCGGGGATTTAGGGATTGGGGACATACAGGGGATGGAATTGGGAACGGATTGGCTCTCCAGTAACCTTACCCACACAACGCTATGATTGTTTCACGCCAGTTTTTTGTAAGCCCTTGGTATCGCTACGGTAGAACCAACCCGAAGCACGTCTCTCCCACATAGACATCAAACCTGTATTATTAATAAATTGTATTATGAGTCAAAAATATTTTTCAGATGCCATCTGCCACTGCGTTTGGGAACCTATATGGCAGGTGTGCACGTGGCTAGGGTTCACCAACTCTGCGCTGAACCCGCTAGTGTATGCTGCGGCCTCGCCCAGCGTAAGGCGGGCCCTGCACGCTTCCTTGACTAGCTCCGTCCGAGCTGAATTGCCTTTGACACCGAATGTTAGAAACTGTTGTTGAGGGAAGGAATTTATGTATGTATATCATTATTTATTTATTGATGTTAAATAGTTTAAATAGAATATTGTAATTTTCCGAGGTGCTTTTAGTATTTAGAACAAGATCTTGCACGTAATTACTGAGTATTGGGTACGCTGGGCCGAACTAGAACTAGAGGTAAATTTTTATACAATATTGTGTTGGTATAAACTTCTGCTACAGAAAATTTTGGAGATCCATTTTATACATTAGGTCTGTGTTGTTAAGTTACAGTCACAATACGACATCGATCCAGAATTCGGTTTTCAATTAAGTTTAGTAACATGGGTAATATTAATATAAGTACATTTGTAGTGAATTAATTGTATAAAGTCACGATATAGGTATAAAAATTATAAATAATTTAATTATAAAAAAAAGTTCAGCTTTTAGTTATCATGTCTCGAGATTAACTAAAAATAGCGGGTTACTCACGTGTATATATTGAAAAGCTCTACTAGTTACTCTCTAGGCGAGTAGGCAGCGCGACGTCGCCGCGTCCGCGCACGCTGCTCATGAGGAAGAACCCCTCTGTGGTTCGAAACTAGTAGAGCTTTTCTCAATATTTACACGTGAGTAACCCGCGATTTTTAGTTAATTTAGTATGTCTCACGATAGTTATTATAAAAACATGTCTCGAGAATTTAGAATCTTAAAACACAGTAAGTAAATAAATAAATGCAACAATAAAATAAATAATATTTATTTACACATTCAATATTTGTGTACACTTCTTTGGCATAATCGCTACCCATTCATAGTTAAAACGTTAATATATAATATTTAAAATTGCACTAGCAAAATACTGTTTCACGTGATCTTTTACCAACTTCTTACTTACGCTTATAAACAACATTTTTCATTTTTTTTATATATTATTATTATTATTAAACAACAACAATTATTTACAACTTAAATAGAATTTGAATAGACTACAAAACAATTAACAACATTACTACAAACTAAAATTGTGCGATATATTATGTTTTTTTTTCATGAAAATTGATAGCTTTTTAGGCCTCTTTTTATTTATACTGCTGAAGAAAGAAACTAAACTTTTAAAGGTTTTCTTGTTGTTTTTTTTTAGTTTAACAATTTGTTTTAAACAAATATGACTGCTTAGAAATAAATTAGAGGTAACCTACATTAATTGACAATATAATAACTTTTCATACTGGAAGGACTTATAATTTTGAGGTCCCACAAGTGTCTGGACAATTTTGTTCTATCGAGCCAATTAATATCATTTCTCCTTAGATTCGCTATGTTACAACAATAATAAATAAACGTTTTGTCGTTGTTTTACAGCTGGTATCTCAAAATGGCGGCGATTGCCAAGATGGCGGACAGTATTAATGGCGGGCGAGAGAGTGTGGCGGCGCCACCGAAGTCTTTGGCATCTGGGGAGCAATTCTTGCACGTGCAGCGACCGGAGAGGCAGTATCCTGGCTCGTTCTCCTCTGATACGCATTCCTGTAAGAAAACGGTAGTTGTTAAGCAAAAGCTATGAAGTGTAAATTTAATTATATGAACGTAGGTATAAATTAGTTCGTATTGAGATGTGATATTGAAAGAATGCTCCTGTTAAACCGATTTTAACATCTATTACATGGTCATAAAGTTGGTATTAAGAGCATAAAAATTGTTTCGGAACGAGCTATTTACTGCAGACGCCATTTTAGTTTTCCCACCAACGTAATAAATTTCACAATCGGTAAAGTGGACACGGGAATTTTTTGTAAATTTATTGGGTTTAGCGAGGTAACTCGATTTGTTTCCAGCCATGCTAAGGGCTAAAACGACAAAACGAGCGTCACGCAATCAAGTAAATGCCTAGTGCGAGATCTTAACAACAATCTCTGATAGGCGCTCTGATTATTTCCCATGTACCTACTCGTTAATATCGCAAAAGAACCACACATTTGTGAAGTTACCAATTTTCAGTGTTTCAGTGTTGTTCAGTTGTTTGACTTAAAATGTAGACATAAGAATATATTAGTAATTAATTATAATACAATAATAAAGTAATTTTGAAGTAACCGGTTCTTATTTCTTTCATACCGTATCAACCAATACCATTCGCCAACCAATGCTCATACTATGTATTACCATCTCCATGTGAGAAAACACCCTTTTGATGATGGGTATATTCGGATGTTTTTTTTTTATATAATAGGTCGGCAAACGAGCAGACGGATTACCTGATGGTAAGCAATCAGCGCCGCCCATGGACACCCGTAACGGAGGAGTGACGAGTGCGTTGCCGACCTTTTAGGGATTAGGGATTTGGAGATTTAGGAACTGGGGAGGGATTAGGAAGGGGAAGGATTGGGCCTCCGGTAACCTCACTCACACGGCGAAACACAACACTGTGGTTGTTTCACGCCGGTTTTCTGTGAGGCCGTGGTATCACTCCGGTCGAGCCGACCTTCAAGATTCGAGTGAATAGGTTGCTCATAAGTATATAGCATCATCGGTTACCAAATAAAAAAAGGATTTATTATGTAGGTACGGTTTTACGCAGGGCACCAGCAAATGTAATTTAAAAAAAAAAAAGCCTTTGTACCACACTTTTTTTCTCCTATGTCATGGGTGCGTTTACAAACATTCAAATTCACGTACATAAGCCCCCCAGACGCGAAACAACAATTTGTGGATTACACGACATAAGCCTCCCAGACGGGAAACAACAATTTGTGGATTACACAAAGTGTTGTTCCGTTGCACAGCAGCCAGTTGCCTAGAAAATGGCCCAATCGTGCAGTAAAAAAAAAACTGATTTAAAACAGGTGCAAACTCCAGATGTGGACGCTACTTAAAAACTGCCAACGACCTGATAACCCTTCCTTATCATACATTTGTATGTGATAACAAACAAAACAAAAGAAAAACCAATATTTGTCAACCAGTTTGCGTCATTAGGCAGAAGATTGATCATACGGATCATAATAGGGCTCATGGTAACGTTGTTATCTTCTTTATTGACTTAACCACCACTTGGGATTCTTGGGCATGACTTTCGCGAGGGGGAAATCGTTAAATGCTTTCTCTCGGCTAGTGTGAGGTAAGAGGGTAATGCCAGACTCATACTGATTAGAACCGACCTCGTACCTTCTCCTACTCCACACCGAGGCCGCGGTATCTTATTGCGCTTGCCTCGCAAGATTTTTGGGCATGACTGAATTTAGAACAAACGATTTATCTATGAATTATTTGCCCCACACTAAAACTTTCTCCTGTATCATGGGTGTTATAAACATACAATTTCACAAACTCATCATACCCAGACCCCGGAACAAAAAACAAGCAATTTAACCTGCGACACGTTGCGCGGCAGCCAGTTACCATCTTAATTCCCGAACTGAGTGAGTATTAAAATTTTTAAAAGAATATGTCAATTATGGCATGGTTTGGAATTTTACTCAGCGTATGCCGTATGAAAGTTTTATACTTCTACTCAATGTATGAGAATGTACACATACCTCATCCCTCTTACACTCCTGTCCGGGCCGGCGACGGTGCCAGCATCGAGCCGGAGTGCCGGCTGCGCGTGCATTGTATCCGCAGGCGCACGTGCCGCCCAGACAAAGCGCCGCGCCCGGCGACCGTGCTTCCGGCAATCCGGCCAGACCTTCGCATTGCACGTCGTATTCACACGACTCGTTCAGGGCTTTTACGGCTGTGAAATAAGAATAATAATGATATAGGTAATGATAATGTCCAAACATCTAAGTCATCGAGAGTCTTTTTGTTGTATGTACATGTCATCGTCATCAGCCTATACCTATGTACCAACTGCTGAGCCTAGGCCTCTAGGTTTGATCATTAGTCATCACGCTTGCTCAAGGAGGAATGGCGACTTCAAACTTATGATTAGATAAGTGAGTGTGTAAATTAAGTTGAAAAATGTTAAGTAGTTCAAAATTGTGTCAGCAGAGTTTGGAATTATCGTTTTCAGAAAGCGGCAAACGAGCAGACGTATCATCTACTGGTAGCTAAAGCCAATATATTAAATGCTGGGTTAAGAAACAAGCGAAGTGTGAAAGGAAATTCCCATTTAGCCCACTGCAGTTCACAGCAAAACGCACTTTAGTACTTACTTACTTAGTAACTTCCTAATTATCAATTAATTACAAAAATAGGTGTAGGCCCTTTGAATTAAGGCCATCACACTATAAAGGGCCTTGCTAATCAAATTACTTTAGTAAACAAATTAAGGGCTTCTAACATGATTTACGCGATTCTACTTAAGGTCCTATTAGTAAAATATTTCGGTCAAGGTAAACTACGGTACTATTACTGTGGTGATGCTGTCTTCTCCGTTTCATAAGCGGCCTGTATAAAGTACAGTTTAAGTATTGTTCCACATTGACCCAAACATTTAGTGTCAATATTAACATTATTGTAAAGTTAGTTAATAATCGGTCACCAACCAAGCCGCGTTTGCTCATACCATTAACCATTACCATTTTATCCAATATACCATATTTTACCATACAAGTTTCTACTATTTATTTGTCGGATTTACGCCCAACATATTAGTCCTTCGAGCCTTCGGAAAGGTGGGATCTATCGCGTTGTGGACATTGGACATGACGTGTTAGTAACTATCTTTCTATAACCAGCCCTAAAACATTAACTTAACTGTTGCTAATAGAATTTGCTTAGCAGTGGGCACTTACCTATAAGGCTAATGTTGAAGGAGATATTAAGATCAATTTTGTGGGGCGAACCCCTACATTTATGTACATACAATCAAAAGATTTTTTAATATCACTATTAATGGTAAATGTTTTGAAAAGTTTACGGAAGCCACGCAAAGGTACGAATGGTTCGGCTTCAGTTGCACCGTGGCCTTACACAATTCTGGCGTGAAACACCAACAGCGTTATGTTAATCTTAGAAATGCGCTATAACCTCGAATCAGGACTTTAGATCTAAAAAAAATTAAATAGTTAACACTCACATTCCACACATGAGTTGGTGCCATTATGAGCTACCCAGTTCTCCCTGCAACGACAGGTGCCCCTGCACTCTAGACCTGCGCCGGCGCACTGCATCTGATCCTCGCACTCTTCACCTAGCGTCGCGTCACGGACACATCTGTAGATGAAAGTGAATCAGTTTTAAATCAATATGAAACAACGGACTGGAGTATAAACAATACAATCATATTTCGAATTTTAGGCGAAAAATCATCCAATGTCTTCTCCGGTTCTTGATCGGGCGAGGGGTCTGACTATTACTGACTAAAAACCACCCGGTTCCCTAATCTTGCTCCAAGCTGGGGTGCGGTAAATTCCAGCTGGACATGGCCTAATTACTACATCCAGATTCGGAACCAAAATGTGTGGAAGTTCCTTGCGAGTGCGAAACCTCGCCACGTTCGTCATAAGCCCGTTGACAAGCCACGGTATCACACGTGTGGTCTAAAATGGCCATTTCATAACACAACGAAACGTGTACACAGGATATATTAGCTAATTATTAAAAAATATGGAGTTCTAAAATAAGTTTCAATGTACCTGGTGCCATTATCCCTTGGGCTGAACTGCAGCTGACACGTGCAGTACCCTCGTACGCAGAAAGCCTGGCGCTCAGGACCTTTGTCTCCCAAATAACAGTTCTGGTCCACAACACAACGATCACCGATAACTAGAATGTAAAATATGTTGATAGATTAAAAATATTATACAGTGGAATAAAATAAATGAAAATTTATTAAATAATGTTTAATTTCAAACTCATAATTGCCTTTGGTTTCATTGTTCCAGTACCTAGTTTAAGTGTGGAAGAGCCACGTTTCGGCGAAAAAAGCCTGGCGACTGGAGTGATACCTACCACAGTTTCCCAGTAAAAGGACGTGACACAACATTTTGGTTTGTGTATTGTAAGTAACTAATACCCAATCACCAGACCCCTACCCCTCAAAATGCAAGCTAAGCACTTGTAACTCTTCAGTACTGCCGTCCATGGACGGCGACGATTGCTTACGAGCAGGTGATTCGTCTGGTCGTTTCTCGACCAATCGTATAAAAAAGGTAACGGGAATTTTGCTAGGAGTTTATTTCTCAATTATAGAGAGATATAGTAGGTAACAAGCTTTTCCAACTAATTAAATTATTTAGATACTCCTTTTTTAATGGTGAAACAATACTTAGAGTTTCATTAATGTTTTAGAAAAATGTTTTTTTTTTTTATGTAATAGATCGGCAAACGAGCAGACGGATTACCTGATGGTAAGTAATCAGCGCCGCCCATGGACACCCGCAACGGAGGAGTAACGGTTGCGTTGCCGACCTTTTAGGGATTAAGGATTTGGAGATTTAGGGATTGAGGAGGGATCGGGGGTGGGGAAGGATTGGGCCTCCGGTAACCGCACTCACACGGCGAAACACAACGCTGTGGTTGTTTCACGCCGGTTTTCTGTGAGGTCGTGGTATCACTCCGGTCGAGCCGACCCATTCGTGCCGAAGCATGACTCTCCCACACTTACACTGTGGCGGTAAAATTAAACTATCGGTTGGATATTTGTATAATTTTACTGACAGCAAGCAGCAACCTAGTAAATAATAAGTTTAAATACCAACCGGCAGTCTCGTAACACCTGTCGTCTTCGAAGTGCGCAGTGGGTGCGCAAGCGCAGACTCCGTTGGTGCACTCCGAGTGGATGCCTGTAGTGGAGTGACACTGGATGTGTTGCACACACTCTTCCCCAATACGAGCCTCTGGAAAAAAGTTTCGATTCTTATTATTTATGAGCAGATGTAAAATATGTAGTACCTACGTCTTTATACTAAGAAATAACGAAATACATCAATAATTCAAATGAGTGCTTTTCCTTCCCAAGATTCTCCAAAAAATATCAAGCTTGTGTTATTTTTCAAAGTGATTATTGCACTTTCATAAATTATGATTAATTTATAGAAAGCCCACGAATGGCAATAGAATCTGCAACTGAACAAATCTACGAACACACAGAGTGCCTTGTGTGATTACCTACTACACGTTTTGTAATTATACTAGTTCAGGAAAGCTATACCTACATAAAAAGTCACTAAAAAGACTTCAAGTATGCATTCCTCAATACACATAACTTAGACTAGCCCGCGATTTCGCACGCGTGTAAAAGTAATTTATCCCGTATTTTCAAAAATGCATTGTTTAAAGCGAATGCTTGACTAAAATACGAAAACCAAGCATAATTCATCAATACTAATATTATAAAGAGGTAACATTTGTAAGTTTGTAAGTATGTATGTATGTAGGGGGTAACCTTTGAAACCGCTGGTTGGATTTCCAAAATTCTTTCACTGATAGATAGCTACAATGTTCCTGAGAGCTATAGGCTATAAAATATCACGCTACGGTTAAATGGAGCCGAGGAGCGGGTAAAACCGCTTGAGAGTAGCTAGTATTCTATACATATATAGCACTCCGGAACATTGTACCTACCGATCAGTAAAATAATTTTGGAGATATGACCAGCGGTTCCGAAGACCCCCTTCATACAAACTAACAAATTTTACTTCTTTGTAATATTAGTATAGATTACCTACGTTTAGACAAAGTGCCTACCTTTCAAGCACCCTTTGTGTGTGCCATTGATTGCTGCGTACACGAACCCATCCTTGCAGACACAGTAGCTGTTCAGACGACAGAACGCGTTGTCTGGGCAGTCCATATCTACACTACATACATTGCCCGTCCGACCTGTAACAATAAAACACATTTTTTAGACGTAGGTCTTTACAGCTGTATCTGGAAGATAAAATTGTTCACATAATGTACAGGCTATCGCCATGACTGATGCCCAATTTTGAAATCATTTTGAGGGGATATTCATTGAATGATGTATTCTGTCCTTGGTGGTATGAGAAGGAGTATCAGACTGCTCCGGGCTGGAGCCGCGACAGATAATTGCGCTTAGTGCCTTAAACCAGGCTAGACATTAGCCCTAATAAGCCTTATTTCTGGTGGTCGAGCGCGGATCGAGACGCGACGTACCTATGCTTGGTAAAGCCAAAGCGCACTTTGATACAGAGTTGCGATATAGTAAGTCGGGGACAATTCTAAAATAAAAAAATGTCCTGGGCGTGGATTCATCATTCATTCTTAACTATTTATTTGAGGAACAATGTATCTAAAAAAGTAGTCGAGCCTTTGGCATTTTAATACAAATGTAAACACTCCCGCCCGTCCCGAACTCGCTCACCGGCAGCCGTTTTCGCCATTCGTAATTAATAGCTAAAAAAATTAATTTCTTAAAAAATAGTACGTCTTGAAAATCCAGGACAGTAAGCGCTAATGTTACACGGGGGAAAGAGGTAAAATCCCCGATTTCCCGGCGGTCTGGCAACCCTACTTTGGTATCAGCCTAGAGCATTAGATGATTTTTAGTCAGTAAGAGTCTGACACTTTCCTCTTGACTCTCTAATCTACTCAATAGAGCGTGACAGCAACTTTAAAAGATTTCCATCTTGAAAAAGTAAATTTAAGTAAGTATGTTATTCAAAGTCTATTAATGTTGGGTAAAAATGCTCATAACTAGTTTTTTATATTATTCTGTGTCCGTAGTCTAACACCGGATAGAAAATTAATTATTTAATCATCAAAAACATAGTTCTCATACTAGATAGATCTTTACAAAAATATTCTGTCTGACTAGTCTCTCACATACCGATTTCGTTCCACTGACGATTTAGTATTGTATAGAATATTGCTACCAATTGATTAATGTTTAAGATTATTCATAGTATTACAGTCTTCATGTCATCTATCTATTGTTAAAACTTAAGCGAGAGAAATAATTATGGTTGTAATGTATGTAGCGTGTGATAGTGATAAATTTTAAATCTATTTTGGCGACACGACCTTGTTTTTGTTGCTATGTGAATGTGATATTGCTGTAGCAATTTTAATCTTAAATAAGTGCCTAAATTAATTCTTGTGCTTAGAAGAAAACCATAGGTAGCAATAACTTCAAATTATTTTAAAAAAAAAAATTAATTTTAAATTATTTTCTCCTGTGTCGTGGGTGCGGTTACAAACATACAATTTCATATACACATGACACCCAGACCCGGAACAACAATTTGTGGATCACACAAAGAGTTGTTCCTTGCGGGAATCGAACCCGCGACACGTTGTACGGCAGCCAGTTGCCCAGCCACCGCACTAAAAGTCAGAATTTTTGATGCACTCTTGTTTATTATATGATGGTGCTGACATAGGTATACGTTGAAAATCATTTTTTTTGTAAATGAAGAGATAAAATGTAAGCTGTTATGAATCTATGAGGTTCTTAGTTTATATTTATGTAAGTTTTATCAATAGCTTGCAATGATAGTCTATGCAGTTTTAATAAAATCGTAGGTAAGTATATCAAACGACGATGCAAAAAGTAGGTAACAAAATATTCTTCACTTCATGCACCGCTACTCAGAAAGACTTGTCTTCAATAGGTATGTAGCGTGGAGTCCGAGAGATTTTATTTCAGAATTAGATCGTGACTGTTTTTCTTTAAATAAAAATATAAATATATTAAATAAATGTGTAATCTTATTAACATTATTTTTTATGTGCTAGAATGGTATACTAGCATGAGGATCACACATAGGGTAAACAATCGACGTCACCCATGGACTTCCTCCACATTATAGGACTTCTAAATGCCTTTCCGGCTTTTTGCAGTTTGTTAGAGATTTGAGGATTTTCAGAGAGAAAAGAGGAGGTCCGGGTCGAACCAGCCTATTTGTGCTGAAGCATAGTTCTCCCATAGTACTATTAACTCTATAATTATACGAAAAACCCAGTCACTGTGTTAGTGTGCCTAAGTACCTATTTAAAATAGCTAGTCGGAAAGCTTAAGCCTTTTACTGTACAAGCGAAACATACTTAAATTCCTTCTATTTTATCTCTATTTTATCTCACTCCTATTTTATTAACGTGAAAATTTAATGAAAGTGTGTTCCTTTTTCAAAAAAAGAACTTTAAAAGAGTAGACAATGTCGTCGGTAAAGATGGCGCCGGCGTGGCGATTGGATATTTGAACGAGTCACAGTTACAAAACATTTTTATACTGCTATAATAGAATTAAATCTTTCAAGAGGTTTTTCAACACTTCCGTTAACTCCATTTATCTTTACTGTCCCTGTAAGTGAACCCTACATTTATGTTCTGTATATTAAAATGTATGTGTTATACATTGGCTATGGCTAAAGCAGGAGAAGGAACGGGGGGGTTCAGTCAGTAAGAGTCTGACACTCTCTCTCGCCATTCCCTGGGCGGGAGAAGATACTTGATGATTTTCACACTGACCAAAAAAAAACACATTGGCTATACAGATGTTCTGTAAGCTTGTTTTTTTGAGAGGGAAAAATCCTCAAGTAATTTCTTTCTCTCTCTCGACTGTATTTCAGTTTACCAATATTATGAAATGTACAAAGAAACATTATGCTTCTCAATTAAATATTGACTGTTTTCGCCTAGTTCATATGACAACACGGAAATATGCATAGTAGAACACTATAATTATATTACTATCAGTAATTTCATGATAAATTTGTTTGCATTCAGGTGTAATCAACGCAAAACAAACATTACAGGCGTTCACTATTTTATGGACGACAGTGTACTTTGCTATATTTTTTATTGGTTGAAGGCCATTTTTTGTAGTACGTTTACAAGGTTGCTCTATTTTAATCCGTTTTAGATAAAGTAGATTGTTTTCTTACTATTTTATTGCTTTGTTTGTTAAGGTTTTATAAAGTTAAGATAATTTTACTACTTAAGTGAGTTTTTTTTCCGTAATACAGGTTAATTTGTTCTATGAAACAATGAATATATTCTTGCAAATACATCATAAAAGGCACTTTTACGTGTCGAATTTTATGTAAAAAAACTAGATGAAGCCGTCTAACTAACTAGATGTTGTTTATGAACACATTGTAGATTTTCGAATACTTTAGAGGCAATTTTATGTTATGATAAACTTCCCAACTAACTAACTACAGACCTAAGAGAGTTTTGAGACATTGATATAGGCATGTATAGTTTATGACTACTAAGTTTCAATAAAACCAGTTCAGTAGTTTAACTTGAAAGCTTGTATAGAAACTTGAGCGGCGTAAACGCTCCTAAATGCCGTATCATTAGGTATCTCATAAGTGTTTTTTATGTAATAGAGCGGCAGATGACCTTACTGATCTTCCGATGGAAAGAGTTCGAGTGGCTTGCCGGCCTTTTTTTAGTATTGAGCATTGATGCCCCAAACAAACAATACAAACAGACCCGAGCGTAGAGCGTGTAGCGTTTGACGCGTGCCTCAAAGAGCCAATAGAGCTCCACAGATGGTGCCCAACAGAGCCGATATTCAACTCGAGGTGTGGGTCAAGCGCAGTAAGGTAATGCGTTCCCTCCTTTTCAACACTTCCGTTAACTCCATTTATCTTTACTGTCCCTGTAAGTGAACCCTACATTTATGTTCTGTATATTAAAATGTATGTGTTATACATTGGCTATGGCTAAAGCAGGAGAAAGAACGGGGTGGCTTTTAGAGTCAGTAAGAGTCTGACACTCCTTCTTGCCTAAGAAAAGGCATTTTGATGATTTTCTGCTATTAAATTACGAATGGGTCGGCTCGACCGGAGTGATACCACGGCCTCACAGAAAACCGGCGTAAAATAACGACAGCGTTGTGTGAGTGAGGTTACCGGAGGCCCAATCCTTCCCCTCCCCCAATCCCTCGTCAATCCTAAATCTCCAAATCCCTAATCCGTAAAAAGTCGGCAACGCACTCGTAACTCCTCCGTTGCGAGTGTCCATGGGCGGCGATGATTCCTTACCATCAGGTAATCCGTATGCTCGTTTGGCGACCTATTACATAAAAAAAATCAAAATAGAAAAACTCCAAACTATTTATTAGCCTGATGAAAACAATTGTTTCCAATTGTTTTTTTTATTTGCACGAGTGCCCACGATATAAAATAAAAATTTTCACTTTTTCCTTTGTCTGATAAATACGGTTAATCTGTTTAATCCGACACGCTTAAAGTACGGAAACTGGGTATTAAGATGGAGACCTTACAATAATTTTAGAGGTCCGCGTTTTTAGAGAACCTCACTTAGTTTACAGGCAAATTTTTTTTTTTTATATATTTTGAACTGTTTGGGGATAATGGTTTTGGGAAGGAGCTGGCCTCCACACGTGTAACCTCACTTCCACGGCGAAACACAACGCGGAAAATTGTTGTGAGACAATTGAACGATTATTTTTGTTTTAGAAAGTCAATTTGGGCTTTAGTTCTAATTGACTTTTTGATTTGACGCAAAAATACTCTGACGTCATAACTCAGTGTGTCATACAAATTTCATAGAAAAGTATCGTTTTTGACATTTGGATAAAAGTATTGAATGTGACTAGTTGGAAACTACCATATTATTAGGGCGGGTATAATTATAGTTATAGCCTATATGCATGGCATAAGCGAGAGGGAGTGTCAGACTCTTACTGTCTATATAGGTAAACTATCCCGTTTCATCTCAGGCAGGCAGCAAGAGAGAGACAGCGAGAGTAGAAAGAGTAGTACATACGGAATCCCCAATTGTTTATCTATTCAAACGTGAAACCATTTTCGAAGTTTTAAAGCCTCATTGATCTCATCGGAACATCGCAAGAGATTAATATTTGAGTGAAGTTGCTCGTGCGCAAC